AAAAAAAAAAAAAAAAGAACAAGAAGGAGAAGAAGAAAAAGGAAGAGCTCATGGCAGGGAAAGAAGAGGAGGAGGATAATGGCAATAACAATGGGGGTCTGGCACAGGAAATGTCGGCAAAGTTTATAGAGAGATCCCTGAAGTTCAATCAGAGAGGAAAGCAAAGAATGAGTCAATATAAAACACTGGGCAGAGTGGCTGGCTGGAAAAGAGAGGAAGCCTTAAACTTTAAAGACAGTTTTGGTCTCAGGGACCACAACACAAACTGACCTGACTCACATTGTTTCTTAAACTTTCTTTTCCTTTTCCTTTTCCATTTCTCAGCGGCAAAGGGCGATAGCCGCTAACCTGGTTTTACCGACCAGATCTTGAACTCCTAACCTTTTTTTTTTTTTTTTTTTTTTTTTTTTTTTTTTTTTTTTTTTTTATGTTTCTTGCCCAGGGTCCATGAAAGATACAAAGCACACTTGTTTCTTCAGTTGCCTGCTGTGCAATAACTTTGTATCGGATGTTTCTATTTTTTTTTCTTTTTCTGCTCCTTTTCCATTTTTCTCCCTGCACTGTGATTTGCGGAGTCTTCTTAAAAAAAAGAAAGTGAGAAAATGGTATTTAAAGAAGGACAGGATTCCAGGAAGAATCGTGGAAAGAACTTGGAAGGCAAAAGGAAAGAGGCTCTGCTACCTTTGACTTCCAGGAAGAAAATGGTTAAGTTCTTTGTACTTGTAAATTTTTCCCCCTCTCTTGGTTGGGGGCAATTATTGTCATGGCTTGGCTTTGTGTTTCTTTCCCCTCTCTTGGTTGGGGGCAATTATTGTCTTGGCTTTGTGGTTTGGGTGAGAGCTTGAAATTTTTATGAACTAGGCAGAAGGCTGAGGAGGGCGATGGCAGAGTGCGTTTGCGCGCACCGCATGCAGCAGTTTTTTATCACCACTTTGTCCTCCGAGAGAGTAAACCCTAAACCCAAAAAATGCTTGTAGGGGACCCGACCCAAAAAAAGACCTGACCCCCCAAAAAAAGGCTTGTCCCTGCTGGAGTACCTGGCTCCATGTGAGGGGGGTCAACAAGGTACTCCAGCAGGGACAAGGCTTTTTTTTGGAGCCCCACTAATCGGGGGTTGGCAATAGATGTGTCATTATGTGACAATGCAAAAATTAGGCAGAAAAAAAAAACAAAGGAAAAAGAAAAAAAAAAGGCGTAGGTGTAATGATTGTTCCTTACGATGAGCATTGAGCGAAAGTGGGGGGTTGTTGGAGGAAGGTAACTACCTTCCCCCGAACATAGCACACTCTGATAATGAATGCACACAAGCCAACTTTCGGGTCCGGTTATGATAACGAATGTATACAAGCCAACTTTCGGGTCCGGTTCAGCCATAACGAGGGTGTGTTGTGTTCGGGGGATGACGGTAGTAAGCATTTTTTTTTTTTGATGCTCATAGCGTTGTTTGGTACTGCCCTTTAAAGGCGGAGCATGAGAAACACAGTCCGCCTAGAAAGGCTTGCTCCTGAGAGGCCCTGACCCGCAGACCGTCAGAGGCTGCCCAGCGAAGAGTGCATATATTTAATAACAGTATGGCAACCACACACGTTCCATCTGTTTGGAAACATGCTGTCTGTGCTACCGTCTTTCCCCGCACCCTCGTTTGTGCTGTACCTGACCGGGAAAACAGCTTGTATACATTCATTATCAGTCTGGAAACATGCTCTGTGCTAGTCATTCTCTGACGGTCAGTGCAGTTTGAGATACCCTCTAGCTGCAGCTTGCTTACGGAAAAACTGCAGAAGCGTCCTGCGAAGAAATCATGACGACTTAGCTCAGGCCAGTTCACCTCATCGTGTTGTGCGCACCGACGCGTCTTGGTACACGTATGCAAAGGGCTTCAGTCACTTCGGCGTGCTGATCACGATGTGCACGGGTTCAAATTCACCTGCATGACCTCTACTCAGACTAGCAAGGATGTGTATGGAGCCCACCAGCCAACTGCAGGCGAGTGCCACGTCTTCCCCACTTTCACCTCTACTCGGAAGAATAGCAAGGAAGTATACATGGTATAGCAATCCCGCTAGTACGCTGAAGGCCCGTTCTGCGCCAAACGTGTACTAAATTCAGAGGGCTAGTCTGAACATGGACCAACAGAAGAACTCAGTTCGACAACAACAGACGAATACCCTTTTTTCAAGGATGTGTATCAAATGCCGACTAACAAACGAAGGGGGTGGTGCCAACGAAATGCAGACGACTAGAACCGAACACGAATGGGGAGGGACATGCAGTTCAATGTCAATAGATAAATAAATACCTTTTTCCATCTCCTCCTTTCCGACTCCCCTCGGGGGTCGCAGCGCAAGGGATCGCAGCACCGCACCAGGTGAGGCGGGAAGCAGCGCACTGGGGGTCCATGCGGGTGCCCGATTACAATTTTGTTTAGACCACTGGGAGTGCCTATTTTGAAAATAGAAAAGGGAGTGTGGGGAAGGGTTTCCCACCTTATACCTTTTTTTTTTTTTTTTTTTGACCCACCTTATTCCTTGTTGGGAGTGTGGGGATGGGGAAAAATTAGAACAACTGAAATTTGCACCCCCGGGGTTGGGGGGGTGCATCGACAAAACCCCAGCTGACCGCCCGGGGATCCCCTTGTGACAACTCCGTGCCCCTGTCAAATCACCGGTACGTTTTGGGGGTGGGCTGCATTTTTCTTCGGTGAAGCTTCATGCGCACTTCAACTTTGGGGGGTGGACAGCAGGAGAAAATGGCTGGCGGCACCAGTCAAAAGGATCTCCACGCCAGTTTGAGTTTGTTTGTCGCACACAGGGTATGTTGAGCCCTGGGAAAAAGAGGCTAGGAAGTACTGGTCATTTAAAACACCGGTGCCTCCAAAAGGCATGGCTGCATACGAGCCCAGACGCGCGGGCTGAACTGGCCTGACTGCCCTGGTGCAAATTCATTCAAGTGGAAATGCCGAGGCTCTATTTTTCGCCGCGGCCGATGTCGAGGTACTTGTAGTTTAGGACGAGGGATGGCTGATCTTCCCCAAGTGTATCTGACAATGGAAGGCCTGTTGGACTGGCTCAGTCTGGGGTGTTCTCTTGCCCCGATGATCCTTCAACCTGGCTCTACAATGCTTGTGCCTCTAATCTCACGTTCTGATGTTGTAGCGGCCACGGTGGCTTCTTCACATCCTCGCACAACTGACACCTTTTTTTTTTTTTTTTTTAGCTGGTACCAATAATGGCAATGCCGGTGGGCGGGATTGCCGGGATGTCTGGTCGGGCTAAGCAGACAGGCTGGTGGAGTAGCTGGAAAGTCCGGTTGGGGTAAGCAGACAGGTTGGTTGGTTGAAGAGTCGGAAAGTCTGGTCGGGGTAGGGAGGCACAGGTGGATTGAAGAGTTTGATGACGAAGTATTATGGACCTTGAAAATGAAATGAAATATGGGTTGGTCGGCATCTGCAGGGTTGTGTGCAACAGGTCTTGGGTTTGCGGGGGCAGACTGGTAGTACACATTCATGGAATTTTTATTATCCTTCTCGAAAAGATATAAGATTTGAAGTAATCAAAGATGGAATCTTATCTCTACCATGGGTTAAATTATGATTATGACCCTAGTGCAACCTGTCATCATTTTTTGGAATTCATTCATCGTTTTTGTAATGGTTTCGATGATCCTATCATCCTGTACAATTGTTAAGAGCCTCTCAACAATCATGAGGCGCTGCGTAGAAAGCTCAACTCATTGTCAAAAATTATTGTGATTACTAGTCAGACCTGGAAGAAGTGGTAAAGCTACTTTTCAACTGTTCTGTTCTACTGAGGCGCAGACAAACAATCAAATCCTGGGTGTGTGTGCGAGTGTATGTCTGAGCGCGTGCGTCCGTGTGCATGTGTGTGCACGTGCGTCCGTGCATTCATGCACGCGCATGTGTGTGTGTGTGTGTGTGTGTGTGTGCGTGTGCGCGCGCGCACTGGAATACCTTTTTCACAACAAATCATGATGACAAGCTCACTAGCGAGAGAACATGTCCAGGATTCCTGTTGGCATGCCCTCATATGAAAAGTCAAACCTCATTAACACACACCATGGCAAGAGCTAATATAGAAAATCAACAAACGATAGTGAACCAAAGGGCAGGAAGCAACAAGGCGTTGAAGTGGCAGAAAGGCACATGTAGGCTGGAGGGCAAGAAGGTGTCGGGCGGGCGGGCAGACGATCCACACAAGGCAGGGAGGGCTGGCAGAGACGTGAAGTAGAAGTACCCAAAAGCACCCAAACATCAAAGAGCGAAAGAAAAAAAACTGGCAATGAAAGAACGTTTCGACGGAGTTGCACCAATTGATTAGGAGGCTGAAGCCTTGACAATATGGGCAATCCCTATATTGACGCCTTACGTCGTGGACTCTTTTAACCCTTGTTGAAAGTGCACGTAGCAGCAACGCAAAGACTCAGCGAAGCCAGATGATGCTAGTGCAGCAACCCATCTGCACAGCGCTGCAGCTAACTGCATGGAATAACCGCACAAGCGAGCAGCAGCAAATCAACAGCATAGTGAAGAGCTGAGAGGCGCTGCAACATCGGTCAAACTGCACGGCACACAAGCAAACTGGACGACAGGACAAAGCGCGTGGATGGGCATCAAGGCAGCAATGCAGCGAGGCACAAAGCAACA